GTTTATAATCCTTTTTAAGTTCAAATTTTATAGGGTGTTACCACTGGGTATCTTCCCTAATCTAACTACTCATATCATATTTTACCTTTCATATATCAAACCTACTTATTGTACAAAATGCATGTATAGATTGTAGATTTCTTCAAATAAATAAAAAAAAAAAAGTTCAAATTTCGACAAAATTTATCAAATTTAAAATTTAATAATTATTTTGTAGTTAAAAATTTATAAAATGTTCAAATTTTATAGCTAAGAATTGAAAATTTAAAACAAGGTTCCACGTAAATAGGTAAATATATAAATTACTTTATTTACAATAATATCATCAAATATACTTAGTAATATCATGGGCTCACTGACCGTTTTCGCTCAGAATCGTTTTTCTTATACAATGATATTATATCATTGAATTCAAATTTAATACCATCTATTACAGTGACCCACTTGTAACCTACTGTACAGCAGAGCGACACCCACTTACCCCCTTTTTGATAAGTGATATTTTAAGCCTACTCAAATGGTAATATAAAGATGCTGTATTACAATTTTTAAATACTACCTACCCCGCTTAATTGAGCTCCAACTATGATATTGGCCGTAGTATTATAAAATATAATAAAAACCTAATGGCCTATTGCTATTGCGTGCCTATGTAGTATATATGTAGTATGACCTGGGTATTGTAGTTAAAAACATTATTTTTATAATTAAATAATATTCGTCACGTAACCCTATATTACACTAGTACCTTTTAATAACCATAAATTAATTTGGTAATATATTAAAAAATACAATTATTGTTTTAAATACCTTTCTTTCAATAGGTACCTACTTATTGGCGTATATAGAAATAATTTTTGGGTTGGGCTATATTAGATAGAAACTAGGAAGTGATCTATTACTTAGAGGCTACTATCTACTATATATTTAACAGTTTCTATAAATATATTCGTAATTGTTATGTTTCAACATGCTATGTAATATTATAACTTATAATAGTACCTACCTAATAAAATATATTGTAGTTCTATTTAAAAAGACTTCAATTTCGGGGGGGGGGGGTTCTGCAGCCCACTAGGGCACTAGGCAGGCCCACCCCCTATATACGCCACTGATTGCAGATAATCTAGTTGGATCATGTAAGCAGATAATTCATGTATATCAGGTTACAACTTACAAACATTATCTTTTGGAAGAAGTCTAAATTTCTTTATTAACTGTCGATCATTCAAGTCTAATTAAAAGAATATTAGTTGACAAATATACAACTTTAGACTTTAGTAAAAATAATTACCGTTAAAAGCGTTTTCAGCAGAATAACAACGACGAACTTCATATCCATTTACTTCTACCTCCTCGAGGTTCCTAATAGCTTGAATATTATTTGAATGTAGCAAAAACTCCATAGTTTAAACAAATGAACTTACTAATGTTTCAATTAATTAAAACAATAAAACAATGATACTCGTAATTAGAAATATAATATTTTTATTCCAATAAACACTAGATAAGATAAAAAAAAATTAAATTAATATTCGTGAACTAATATGCTATAGATTGGTAAATATGTAACCTAATACAATGATCGAATAACTAGATTGAAAATTAGACTACTACTTGTTAGATTAAGTTCAAAAATATTTGCTAGTTGATCTCATAGATGGCCGACAAACGTGTATATTAGATCAAGTTCAAAAATAGACCCCCTGAATCTAAAGTAGGTACCTACTTTCCGACTACCCATCTGTTCGGCCCAGTGACGGATCCAGGGCTAAATTTTTTTTTTTTTGCGGGGAGGGAAAGTACAGAAATTGGCTAAACACTGTGTAAAATAAAGGGAAACTACGGTGATTGTGAGGGGGGTAATTTTGCCTCCCCCCCAAAAAAAAAAGATCGGCATTAGCGCAGTAGGTACCGTACAATATTATGCTTTTGCTGCGGAATGTGAATTTAATTATTTTCATGGAATAGTTTACCGCCACGGTTGACGGCGGTCGTCCGCACGTCGCCTGTCGTAGTGTCGTTAGTCGTTACTACAACGGCCATGACTCGGCTTAAACTCGTGTCTCGTGGTAATAACCAGTAATCACCGATTATAAAAATTATTTACTGTAATCGGAATAATTGGATTTGGATAACTCCATTGTTCGTGTTGGTTTTTTTTTTTTTATCGACGTTTTTAGTATGCAGACGTAGCGTTCAGTCGCCCACAAACTGGCACAAACATTATGTTTCGTCGACAGATAACGAAAGAATTTCTGCTGAACGCTGAATAGCGCGCGATTCTTGTCGCGGCGAACTGGTGCGTATTTAATATCTTGTTATCAGTTAAGTTTGTTCGTTATCTAAAGTACCCGAGTACCGGCCGTGCTGAACAAAATCGTTTTAATTTCTGTGGAACAACCGAAATATTGTTGTCCAACAACCGAACCACCGCCTTTATTCCTATTATGGTATGCTACATTCTAGTAACGAAACGGTAGATCGACTTGAACGGTTGAAGGTAATTATCGACTAATGTCTATTTTATTGCTACCCAGGTTTTTTTCGCCAATTACTTTTTTGAGAAGTGCATTGCCTCGATGAACCGATTGTTTGTGAACATAATAAATTGTCAGAAACCGGAGAGAAACTTACTGGTAACACTTTGCACCAAACTACCTACCTATCTATTATAATTTAGAGTAAATATTCAACTAACAACCTAGTTTTTTGTTTGATCATGTCTTAATCAAACTGTTAAATTCACTTGTCGCCCATATTTTTTTACTATACAGATAACGTTAAATTAAAACATGATTGAACAAACTAATTCGTTCATAATTCATAGACATATTGTATACAAGTAGTTCAACCAACAAATTACTGATAATTTTAGGAAAATTGCTTGTAAATACAATGTTTTTCCAAAAATGAATTCAACCTACCTATATTATTACTAATAAAAGCAATGTTATTATCATAGCTTAAATATACTAGGTTATTGCAATAGTAATCCCCCTGTATAATTTTATCACATTAAGGAATTAAAATGGCAGCACAAGCGGACAACCTATACTTAAGCCATGCACTGTACCCATACTCTGTCATTTTATTTTGTTTGATAATAATATAGGCCTACCTATGTGCAATAACCTTATATATTTAAGCCATGGTTAATATAATATAAAATATCCTAGGCTGACCCACTGTCTCCGACCAGCATCGATTTTCATAAACAATGATACGACGTTGAATTCAAATTCAACACATTAATGTAATCCACTCCACACCTACTGTACAGCATAGCAGTACCCACTGTCTCATTTTTTATTTATGTTGGCTGTAGCTAATCTAGTAAGACGTACCTATACTAATTTATGCCTTTGTTGAAGACAGGTGAAACTTTATAAAAAAAGTATTAAAAATATGGGTAATGGAATGGTGAGGTTGGTGAGTAGGATTCAGTTCGTTTCCCTGGGCCCCCGACCCCTGTGCCAATGTTAATAATTTTTTTATGAGAACTAATTAGCTATAATTTTTTCTTTAAACAAATTAAAGCAATAAATACATTTACTAATTAATGTTTTTTTTTACAAAGTACCAACATAATACCAAGTATCATTCATAGGCGGGAATCCATTGAACATTGGTTAGGGGGGGGGGGCAAACATTATTAACATTAATGTGAGTGAGGGGTGGGGCTTCGATCCCACACAACTAAAACAGGAGGGGGGACTGACTTTTTTGGGAGAAGGGCTAAGCCCCTGTAAGCCTCCCTCACGATATCCGCCTATGAACTGTCATTAATTTATAAGTAGTTATACTTATATTGGTCTTTTTTTACTCAAAACTTAAGTAATTAACAGGTTTTAAACATTGTATATGCTTGAATAGCTGTAACAAAAATACCTGATATAGAAATAATTTTTTTTATCTATAATTTAATGACACTTGCAAAAAAGTACAGAATAACAATTTTATATTTTATTTTTAATACTGAAAATTAAAAACGTTACACTTTTTTTCTGGAAAAATTCACGATAGCCAATTTGTAAATCTAATTTTTAGATAAATGTTTATGATAAAAACTTTTATTCAAGTCAAGTTGTTTATTTTTTAAAATATCAATATTTTTATGGATTACATTTATTTGAAACGTAATAACTTTTTTCCCAATTCTATTTGGGAATGTCCTGACAGCCTGTCGATACCTCAAACTTTCTCCTGGTCCCTTTAGGTCAGGCCCGGCTCAAGGGGTAGGCGACATAGGCCCACGCCTAGGGCGGCACATAAGCAGCACTTTAGTAAGAGGGCGGCATTTTCAAAATACTGATAATATTATATTATTAGGGGCGGCAAAATTTGATTTCGCCTAGTTCACTATTTTCGCTTGAGCCGGTCCTGCTTTAGGTTCACTTGTCTAACTGTAATTTATTTGTACCTATACAATAATTAGATTTCATTAAATAACTCAATATATAATTTTATAGTCATTTTTGACTAAACATAAAATACAATACTTAAAGTGTTCATTTTCATTTTTGAACTAGTTTTAAGCATTTTTAAATTTTAATATTTTATATACTCATACTTGCCTAACATTAAAATTACAAAACCACTTTGGTATAACAAATTAATATTTTTTAATTTATTTAATTTGAAATAAGTTAAATAATTTTGATTTCAATTTATAGGTCTATTATGAAAATTGATAGTGTGAAAATCAATTTTCCTATTACTTGAGGTAGGATTATAAAAATATTACAAAAGGTTACTTATTTACTTTTTTGTGAAGTTAATAGGTAGTTGTTCTTTGTTTATTGTTTTACATTTTATTCAACGGGCATAATGTTAATTTGTTTTTGTTAAGTAATTATTTATTTGTATTATCCATGAACACATTTAAACTAATTATATGAATTTTTATTTAAAATTTATAAGCAAATGTTTTATTTTTGTTTTAGGTTTAGACAGTGGTTATTGTAGAAGAAACAGATTTTGATCATTATTTTTGTGTAATGGAAAAGAGGGAGTGGCCACTATTTGTTTATGGTGGTCTATCATCCTGTATTGCCGAATTTAGTAAGTTATTATATATATTATATATATATTCATGATATCGCCGTCCCGGTAAAACAATGACGCAACTGCAATAATTGCAATTTTACAGGAAACCCAAAAAACTAAATTGTTAATTATTTATGAGTGTACAAACTGATAATTCCACAACGACGCAATTGCCCTCTGGAGGTCTAAAATACAACTACAGTTCCGTCGTTTTTCTACATTATGCGTACGCTGTATTTAAACTCATTGTAGCATTTAGGCCATTTATAAAAAATTTTGGAGTTGCGTCATTGTTCTACCGGAACGGCGATATAATAATATATTATATTTTTTTTTATTGAAATAATTTAATTTGTTAATGTACATAACTGCTTATAACTGATTGTATGAATTATTTTGTAAGGTACCTTTCCTATTGATACAACCAAAACTAGACTACAAGTTCAGGGGCAATTGGATGGACAGTTTAATAAAATTAAATACCGTGGAATGGTGGATGCTTTTTGTCAGATTTATAAACAAGAAGGTTTTTTGTCACTTTATTCTGGGTATTTATTTATTTTTATTGTTGTTTTTTTTATAAATCCAAAAAAATAAACTTATTATGTTACAGAATTAGCCCTGCATTAATACGTCAGTGTACATATGGTTCACTTAAGTTTGGAACGTATTATACATTAAAACAAGCAACTAATGAATATCTAAAGGTGACCGAAGATGTAGCTGTAAATTTTGGATGTGCTATATGTGCTGGAATAATATCTGCGTCTATTGCTAATCCTACAGATGTGCTTAAAGTCAGACTTCAGGCTTTGGGTCGAGATAAAACTGGAATTTTTGTAGATAATAATGTTTTTAAATGTTTTCGTTACATTTATGTACACGAAGGACTCCGAGGTTTGTGGAAGGTTTGTATTTAATTTTTCACGTATGTAAGTAAGTGCCAAATATTTTGTACACTTATTGTACTCTAGAATTACTACACTCTTAATTTTTTTTATAAATGAACTGAGTATTTATTGCTAATAAGATTGTATAAATAGTTAACTATTCTTTTCATATTACTATTGTATTATTGTATTATCCAACGTTAAATACAATATATTGATTTTAAAATGTTCATCTGCTAAATCTGAGAGAATTTCGTCATAAAATGGTTTTACTCTTCAGTTTTCTTTTTTCTTATAATTTTCGAGGTACACAGCATTTTGTTACAATTTTTACTGCTATTTAAATAAAACATTGTATTTTGACTTGTATTCTTGAACGCAGAATTAAGCAAAGAAACTGCTTGTTTAGAAGACTGAAGAACTTTAGATGCAATATTTACAGTTTCTAGAATTTTACCAATGAAAATTACACTAAACTTAATTGTAAGTTTTCCATATGAATTTTTAAGTAATTTACTTCAACTATATCATTTTTATTTTTGTTTCTAAGAATTATTTGCGATAAAAATTTTAAAATATCAATATGTGCCGAACAGTTAATAAAATCTTATACCTTGATGAGCAATGAGTTGTACATAATTCTTTTTAATGTTATCTGACAAATCTGAAGATCAAATTTATTGCTGACGTTTAATACTGAAAATAACTGAATTCAATTAGGTAAAAAAGGTCAACATTTTAGAAACTGACCACTAGCATTTTGTATACTTGTACAAAATTCAGAAAATGTTCTATTTTTAGCACTGCGTACAGTACAATTTGGTTTAATCTTAATGTAATTTAATATATACTTATACTTACTAATTAAAAACCAAGAAAGTGTACATGCCGATCACAAATTGACAAGTATTTTATTTATTACAAATTGTATGCATTATTTAATTGTAAAATTTACACTGTCTACAAAATATATTGCCCTATTTAAGGCATTTTTTTTTAAGGATTTTATTCATATTTTGAAAATAGAAGAACAAAAGACAAATATTCAATCTCAAAATTGTAATTTATTGTTGATTATAGATTAGCCTCCATGGCAAATTAAACACCTGGTGCCTATTTAGTTTATTTTAAAGTATTTAAAAATAAAGTATTGATATTTAATGAAAAACTATTTATTTTATCAGGGTGTTGGACCAACATCGCAACGAGCTGCAGTTATTGCAGCTGTTGAATTGCCAGTTTATGATTACTGTAAACACAAGTTGATGGACATTTTTGGCAATCATATTTTCAATCACTTAATGTAAGTTTATTTTATAAATAACAGTTTTTAATGTCCACTAGAAATTAATAAATATAAAAAATATTTTTTTATTATTTATTAGTCTAATAGTTTATTTGTTTTAACTTTTTTCAGCTCTAGTCTAATAGCGAGTTTCGGAAGTGCTGTTGCGTCTAATCCTATTGATGTAATCAGGGTAATTATTTATTCATTTTGTTGATGGGAATAGATAAATTAAGTTATCCAGACACGTTTAAATTAAATTAGTCAACACATTTTAATACCGTGAATAATAATAAATAATAATATATGTAATGATACAATCAAGGACTGAAATCTCGATGATTTTTACAGTTCCGGTTCCTATTCGGTTCCCAGTAAAACTAAAATTTCGGTTTTGGTTCCGATTCAGTTCCCAGAAAAAATAAAATGTAGGTTTCGGTTTCTTTTCGGTTCTTAAAAAATAAAAAAATTGTTAAGTACCTGATTTGGTTTTTTACTTATGTAAAAACAAAAATTTGTCAAGTAAAAGTATCGAATAGTGAAGTTCCGGTATTAAAATTAATTTAAATAAGGGTTCCGGTTCAAAAACCAGTTCTTTCAGTGAGGTTCCAGTCCCTGGATACAATGCACTAACGTACAGTAGCAATGGACCAATGGACCATAACAATACTATAGCTATAATATTAACTGCTACACCCAAGATTATTATGTGTCATCTCAGCATTTTTGATTCTCTTATAAATGTATCACTATATAGATAATCTACAGTATATTAATACTACTTAAGGACTACCATGATAATTAAATCATTTTTTTTTTCTTTATTTGACTATTTAAAAATATGTTCAAATTGTGATATAATAATATATTATACTATAACATATTATGTTGAATATCTTGAATTTCACTTTGTTATAATATTAGTTTATAATCATTGTACATACAATAGTACAATTCAAAATCAAAATGTTATTGGTAAATTTGTATTTTTAAATTTGATTTAATAAAATAAAATACATTTTCAGACTAGACTGATGAACCAGAAGCACAATAGAAATACTGAGCTTGTTCAACAACATATCTATAGAGGAAGTATTGATTGCCTAATAAAAGTATGTTCCTTGTATTTAGAATATATAAATATAGAAACAACATTTGATAGTTCAGTTCTAATTTTCCTATTTATTAAATGTTTCAGACTGTTAAGTATGAAGGAGTTGTGGCACTGTACAAAGGTTTCATTCCCACTTTTGTTCGAATGGGACCCTGGAACATAATATTTTTTGTGATTTACGAAAGACTGAAAACAATCTAAGTTTTAAGCCTGTATAATTTGAATAAAATAGAGTATCCAGAAAGCTAAACTTAATATTGTTATCATTTATCATCTATGTATTATGTTATAATTAATGGAGATATAAACATTTAAGACATTATTCTAAGAAGTTAACACAACATTTTAATTCATTATGATATTTTATTAAATATATTTTTACAATTAATTAATCATACTTATCATATAATTGTGAACATTCATACAAACCACTTATAATAAAAATAAGAACATAATCTGTTTACTTATTTTAATTGAAATTGTAGTTATATTTTAAGCATCAGATTAAACTATATCTTAATTATTCACAATCTAATTTAGGTATGTTATAATTGAAAATAAGTGAATATAATATTGTTGAATAAAATTCTGTACACAACATAATAAATAAATACCAAAATAAAAAAGAAACCATTCTAGGTTCTGAAAGTATGACATTTCCAGCTTCTTGGATTTTCACCAATTAATTAAAACTTATTAGAGAACAGAGTTTTACCTCTGTGATTAAATATATAAAATGCAGGTGTGTTGTGTAATGTCTCCCATGTCTTGCATTCCAATTCCTCAATGGCTCTCACTTCTTTAAAATCTCCTGCCAAGTACAATATTCCATACATTGACAGAAAAAGACTAACTACACCTTGCACAAATATCTAAAACCAAACAATTATGATATGATAAAAATAAAGAAATTATAGCAATTATTAATATGTAGTTAAATATTTATTGGATTCCCAAGGCTTACATCAAATGGTAATCCATCAAATTCTTGTTCCGTTATTCGCAAATAAGATCGATCTGTAAAATAAAATAAACTTTGTTATCTGATATGCAAAAGCAAATTTTCTAGTTTTAAAACTCAAAACTTAGATTATCATGATCCATGACCATGTGAGACTTTATGATCATATGGATTTTGTTCTTACATTGTACTTCTAATTGTTAACTTCAATATTAAAATTATTTTATGAAGCCCTAAATCAGGGATACCAAATTTTTCTAATGCTACGTGCCTAAAACTATGTGATTTTTTCCCTGCATATCAGTAAGCAATGTTATATATCAGGAATGGCAAATAGGATTTGTGACAATTAAAAAAAAAAATTCAGTTGTGCCACTACTTATATTTGTTAACACAGAGAATTTTTACAAAATGTAAATGAATGATAATAATGTAGAAAAAAATTATTAAAAAAATCAACTTTTATTGATTGTTAGAAACATTTTACTTCATATTACTTGAAAGATTTTTTTATGTCTGGTTAATATGCTCTGTTGCTTTCAAGGTATATAAATATATTATATAGAAACATCAAAGTTTTTTGGTGATGTTAGAGATATTTAAGAATAAAGGGAACTCGAGTCATATGTTATCTACATGAACAATTTATGATTCCTAGGACGGAATTTTCAAAACAGTGATAATATTATTATTTTAGGGGTAGCAAAATCAAATTTTATCTAGTGCACTATTTTTGCTTCACACTTCAATGATGTTTATATCCATTTTTAAAAGTTTCATTATGAAGAGCATTGCTCAACATATATTTATATGTTGTACCACCAATGTTTTTTTTTTAGTTATAGGTTATTATATTATAAACTCGGGGACGGAGTGTCCAAGAGGACTACGGTGTTAGTTGTAACGCGCACTGTCACCGGTTTAAATCCTGGTCACGGACGGCATAGCTCCCTTGGCAAGCAATTGTCTAGACGGCAAGACCGCCATCCCCCAACCGGGCATGGCAGAAACCTATGGGGCCACAAATAGAAATTCTGTCAAACAGTCGTCCAAACTAGGACTTAGGGCATACTCTTGCACAGTGCCTTATTAAAAAAAAAATATTATAAATCGATATATTTATTATATTATAATATAATTAACCCCCTAGTTAAAATTCTACCTGGGACAAGATCAAAATTGAAAGGCTTAATCAGTTTATTTGGTTTAGTTATTAACTTGGTTTGGTTTGGTATACCTTGTTGTCATACTATTATAATTGTAACAATACATTTGAACTAGTGTTTATTTATACACAACTATTTAATTTAAACTAATCGAAATTAAGGGTGATAACAGGCAAAAAAAAAAAACATGATGTAAAATCAATACATTCTTTTCCTTCGCCTAGAATTGAATGCAACTCGATATCTGGATGGCTGTCAGAGCAGCATGCAGCACATTAAGAGGACGTTACATTCACACAGTTTACCATATACCTTAAGTAGGCATCTTCATTCTAATATAGAGCATACATCACAATGAAACATTTTTTATTCCAGAAATATTTCTTAAGCTGTATGAAATGCCATATTATGTATAATATAAAATAAAATAATATTGTTGAACAAATTATGGGCAATATGGGCTATTTGTTTGGTATTTCTCCAGAATTTATAGCTTTTTATTTTTATTTTCTATTCCTAATTCGCTAAGCTATTAAAGGGTTAATATAGTCAAATCCAACTTAAATACTTTTGTAAGCTTCAACTACAAACGTACGCTAAATATTGCAATCAAACAACATTAGTATCGAATGCATTTTGGAAATAAATAAATAAATATGCTTTTTAATTTGAAAAAAATGGGAACATATTCTTAAATTAATAGGAAGTGATTTTAATTGACCGCCTTCAATAAATTATTACCCCCCAAAAGAAATTTACGTAAAATAGATATTATGTAAATTTGAATTCTTTAGAATGAGACACTATAACAAAAGTAAAACTGTTTAACACTGGAATATAAAAAAAACCCATTTGTAATTATTTTTCATTTTTTATTTTTCTACAATTTGATTTAGTTTTGATACGTCACGCACCATAATATATTGTGTTTGGTTCAAATAAATATTTATTTTGATTAAAGAGATGGATTGCAGATGGACAATAATCGCAGTTGCGATGCTTTGAAATGTACATGTTTCTCACTGGATTGAATTAGTTATGTACACATAATTATATTAAAATAAAATATTTTCAAATTGTGTACTTACGCTGAGCCGCCGAATACGCTGCATGTAGTAACGACAGTATACCAAGAGCGAATATTTGTCGGTACAAGTTAAACATGTCAGTGACGTTGGAGTGCTGGTAATGTTAAAATGTCGGTTTTGAAATAAATCCAAATCCCGGTGCAAGTAAAGTCGACCGTAAACTGTAAAAGTTCACAAAGCTGCCCACATTGAAGCCGTCGACGGAATCAATATGATGATAAACATTAAATGCTCTTATCTGTTATCTGTTAGTGAACTACCGGATTCGGGCGGAACCACGATTGGTTTCCAAAATGCGAACTACAACCACAGAATATGCCATTACCTCGACATTATCTTATAAAATGATAATACGTAATCTATATTCTGTGATACGTAATATTATCATTTAATATATTTTTCAATTTTTGTAAGTGTCGTGAAAATATTTTAGAAATTTCGTGCTCATTACCCATTAAAATTTATACTCATTTCTAGTTTTTCCCAAGTAGGTATTTAAGTCGTTTGTAAACATCGTTTAACGTGAAACTGTTCTTCGATGTACTACAGCTATTATAACTATTGAGTGCGAAAAAAAGGAAAGAGAAGCAATTGGTTTTAAACAGTGTGCTTTTTAGTTTTTATTAAAAACAACTTATTAAAATATCTTACATTTATTTTTAAATAAAATAAAATAAAATAATATTATCATATTTTATAGTATCCTCAAGCGTCACAATTTAAATGCTAAAATAAATACCTACTTAAGAGGTGGTCCCTTGTAACAGCAAAAAAAAATATAAAATGGTTTCGTACCTTCAACAATACTCCTTACCAACGAATAAAATCAAAATCAAATTAAATCAAATGCATGTTGCTATTTTCAACATCATATACATGTAGGCAATGAGTATAAATCATTACTTGTTTGATTAAATATCAAAATTGTATAGGTACTGTATATTTTTGCATATTTCTGCTGCGTTAGTGCATTTTATTTTGACAAAAAAGCATAAAAATATACAACTAACAGTCCAAAAAAGGGTTGGGCATGCATATTTTACAATTTAAAATGTATATAAATCTGGTCTTTAACTATGACTATTCTGTAAAAATACCTATCATGAAAATTGTAGAGGAGAATTTCAAGCTTGATTTTTATAATTTTTTTACTGATACATTTGTTAGATAAATACAACAATAAAAATAAAAAAAAAAATAAAATCGGTATTCAATTTCTTCTAACAATAAATTTATAGAAATTAGAAATTGAAGTATATACAGCTATGAATTACAAATACAGTAAAACTCGCTTAAGACGCTTTCCCGCATAAGACACTATTTGCCGTCGGTCCCTATTTCATTCCCGCATAAGACGCTTTCCCGCTTAAAACGCTCTAGAGTCCCTTAAAGAGCGTCTTAAGCGAGTTTTACTGTAATATGATTAAAAATAATTTAAATTTAAAAATATTGTAATTTCAAATAAACATATATTATTATATATTTATACTACAATAATATACCCACAATGTTTTCAATTTATAATAATCTTTATATTTGAAATTTGATTTAAAAATATAATAAATATTTATTAACTTCCAGTAACACAAGATGCTGTGATATATAGTGGTATAATTATGAGATGCAGCTCTCAAAACCTTTTTCCAGGAAAAAATAATCCCAATGCTCATCCCTCTAGACGGCACTGTATGTAGTGTAAATACTGTGAAGCAGAAAATAAGTTCCAAAAGAGAGTATCTACTTTTTGCACATCTCAAGTTTATTTCTCTAAATTACTCAGGAGTCTGAGGTAGAACACTAATGTTTTCAGAAGATTACGGTACAATTGTACAAACATGTTAGATTCCTCTGAGTGACAAGTGAGAGATGCTCAGTACTGGATGAAAACCGGTCTGCAGTGTGGGTATTTCTTTTTAAATGAAGTATGGAATGTATTGTATAGTTCAGTGCCCAATGCTGGCATTTGGCATTAACTGGATAATAATT